GGCTCAAATACCTCGATAATGCCAGCTCTTAGATAATCTCACTCACTAGTGCGCTTAAAAAGGACCCAAGCCGGTTAACAGGAAACTGCTTGTCAATATAGGATGATCATGACACACGCTGGAAACTTTTCAAATAAGCTCTTACCTAAAAGCTGTCCCAGCTTGTTCCAGCTGCAGGATTATCTGGTCATGCTAGGACTCGGTTTGCATCTGCAAAACTGAGTCCTTGAGGCTCCCAAAAGCCTTGAACCCATACCCTCGGCTCAGAGAGGTTTTTCTTAAATCTTTTTTTTGCCCAAAGGGGAATTAACCTGTATCGCTCTTCCCTGCTTTCAAAGAAGGCCAGGCAAAGAACACAAAAGAGGGACAAAAACTGGTTTTTTATACCCATTTTACTGACTTCACCACACAGGAAAAAAGTACAAAGAAATATAAAAATTCTGATCCTTCAAAGCAAGTTGCATTTCACTGCAGCAGAAAACAAACCATTTGGAGATTCAAACTGGCAAGGTAACCGATCTAAAAGGAGTAACATTTGGCAAAAATTACGTACCGACAGACGCCATCCGTTTGAAAATGTGTTGTGCCCAAAGAGAAAAGGTTGCACAGACCTTGACCGGTTTGAAAAAACATTGCATAAAATTAAATACTATATAAAAAGAACAAAAAATTCAATCAACAAAACATAGAAATCATTCCCAGAGGTTTCACACAGTTCAGACAGTTATAGCAACCGCTGCCAGAAATAGACTGTGCTCGAGAACTGCCGGATGGGAGAATTACGTCGGAGCCCTTTGGCGTTAGCAGGGGAACCGGGTTTCAGTGCATTTCGAGAGCTGCTTCCACAGGCGTGGACTGTGGCAAGGCTCTTGCGTTCGGAGCCATCACAAACATTGCCTGCCCGGGACAGCTCAGCGAAACCTGCGCTTGCTGGGCACTGCGCAATCCGCCAGCAACTCCCAGGGAAACACGACGTACATTCTCGTTCACCCAACGAAAGAGCTCGTGGCTCTGCGGGACGATTCGATGGGTGGAAGAACAGACGCGACATCCGAGGTGCAATGGTCCCACTAGCACAAGAGCTTGCTAAACCAGGCTTGCTATTAATAGCTAACTGTGCCAGTAATGGGGGTGGGATTTCCAACACAGTTTGGAAAGATAAAGGATTGAAAGACATTTGGAAAAACTCTCAGGATATAAAAAACCCGAGCAGATGGTGTAAAAAAAAAAAACAAAAAACACCCACACGCACCTCTGTAAACTATTTTCCAATTTTAAAAACAGGACCAAGCAGGAAAACAGCACACACAAACGCTAAGGATTCAGCAGTGAGCAGCTCAAAAACACATGGCATTTCACATCTTTGAATACTTCCCCCCACCCCGCTATCATTAGACTAAAACCACTACCTCCCACTCTGCATCCTGTCAATAAATCAGCCGTGCAACGGTCAGCCTCAGACTTATCATATGGTATCTCTGAAACAGTAAAGTCTTGTTTTGTGAGCTCCCATCCTTTTCAGGAGGCACATCTCCCTCAAGAGCTATGTTCCCAGACTTCCTTTCCTTTCTCTTCCCCCCACTTCACACTCCCGCTCTCCAAAATAGCTTCTGCAAGTCCTTTCAACATCAGAAAAAGGAAGCAAAATATGGAAGTCTCGAAAGCTATTTAAAAACGGTGACTTTCTCCTACTCTCCCTCTGTGCTTGCTAACAGCTGACCAAAAAAAGGAAGGTTTTGCTTTTAAGAGAGCCTCAAGCCCTGCACACAACCTGCCTTCTCCCCTCCTACACAGGAGCTAACCACTAGCGAAATGCAGCTGTAGCTTTCACAGCCGGGCAAGAAAACCTCTCTGCCCTTGTGGAAGATGACTATCTTTAGTAATCACAGGGCAGATTACCAATTGTTCACAAGCTCAGGAAGGCCGGAAAGAGGCAGGCCTCATGCCACATGTCACTTTTGGAGCAAGCTGAAGGGAAGTTAATACTCAGCAGCTCTCACAGGAGGACAGGATGCTTCCTGTGCAGTCAGTTGACAAGCACACGGAGAGGGTGACTCACGTACGGTCGGCACGAGCTGCAGGTGTAGACAGTTACCCATGTGAAGAACTCCACCCGCGTCATACCAATTTTATTCTGCCCATATTGGAAAAAAACAAAAGAACGAGCTGGGCAGGCACTTTATGCACTCTTCAGATACGTCCTGTCTCAAACAAACATCTTTGGAATAGAACTACAAAAATAAAAACAGGATTGTGGCTATAAGCCATGAATCAACACGTTTTACAGCCTTAAATATAGCTAGTACTAGTATGTCCCAGGCCCTAGTTTAAGTGCTCCACAGTATTACCAAGGTGACCAGCTCGGCTACAAGTGGTTGGTTATTCGTACATTCAAACTATGCAAAACTTCTCCAAGCAAGGGATCACAGAGCCATGGAAGAGATTCTGCCAGGTACACTATAAAGCCTTTCACATGCAGCTCGTGAAAGGAGGGAGACATTTCTGCACGTGGAAGTGCCTCTCCCATTGCTAACGGGGAACCCATCCCACTGCGAGGTACACGCAGAAAAGACAAGAGCCCTTATCGCAGGCTGGTTTGTGAGGACGACTGTTGTAAAAGCAGAGGTGCCATATCACTGCTGCGGGACTCCACAACGCAGAAGATCAACGACTGCCTCAGCCCCTGCCCCCTCAGCTAGTCAAGGAAACGGCACTTCTTCAGCAGGCACCAACACTTTTAAGCGCTCAGCTGCAGCAAGCTCTACAGTCGACCCGGAGGCTCCTTCACTGCCGTAGGGAATGGACAGCACTGAATATTCCAGGGCCTCAATACCGCACTTTTGAAAAAGGGGGTTTGAATCACTGCAAGTGCTGAAGCCGTTTCATCCATCCCAAATGCTTTAGGACTGTCATACAAATGACATTTTACAACACACAGGAAAGCAACCTTACAAGGCAAAGTCTGCTACAACTTTGCCACAGCCATTTGGCACAAAACTTAACATGCCTCACTTGCCCTCTTTCACAGCATCAAACTCCAATTGTTGTTTTTAGTGCAAACATATGAACTCTGGGGATTGCGAAGGAAAAAACCCGTGTGGAGCCTAACCTCCAATATGCAGGTCAGGAAGTTTAAGCTACATCCGAAGGGCTAAGGACAGCTCCAGCGCTTCCAAAGATCTGCATTAAAGGGAGAATCTAGATGCCAAACTAACATTGTCTTCATCACAGAGGAAAACAAACAAAGTATCAAATCAGAGTCCTTGGCAGACAATTTCCAAACTAGTGCAATCGGTCACGCTATGAACTTTAGCATCCAAATACAATGGACAGAAGGAGAGAGCGTCTGTGTCTCAATCGAGTCCGTGCTGGTTACAAAGACAGCTCTATAACTCTGAAAGGAGAGAATCAGATGGCTCATTTCGCAGGCAGATTTTTTCCCCCCCTGAAAGAGAGACGTCAGTACAGTAGATGGCAAATTCCATTTCATTTGGACACAAAAGTTCTGTCAAGTGCTGGAAACTGGCTTTTCTTGGGTCACAGACCAGAAGCCAAAGCTGAAAACTAGTTCATCTTCGCACTTGGGAAAGGAGAAACATTTCAAAAAAAGTGAGAAGTTTAATATTACCAAGGTGCAGGTGCCAAACTAAAAGCATTTTCCCCTCCTCCAGCTCTCAGATCTGAACACGGCAGCATAGCTAGGATTCAAAGCGCTACAGCCAGGAAGTCCACGAGTTTCCCAGTATTTCGCATTTTCATTGCAAGCCATCTTTAATCCACACAGCAGAGCACAGACCGTCCAAAGAGGACTCTAGATCTGGAAAGAAATAAAATAAAAGTTAAAACAATTTGAGTAGCCTTTCACCCTTTCTACTCTGACAAAGCATCAGGGCTTCAGGGGGCCGAGTCTCTCTCCAATTAGCTTTCAAATAAAAACAATTTCTTTCTAACTACCCGGCTGTATCACTGCACCTCAGGGACAAGCCAGGGGATTCCTGAGGGAAAAGAGAATAAATGGGTGAGAATAAATGGGATGGTTCAAGCAGTCAGATCATCTCTGCGGCACTCAAGCGGCTTCCCCAGCCGGGCACAGCAACAGCGCTGAAAGGAGCCCCCGCCGAGCTGACAAGGAGTTGAGGTCGATACCACCTTAGTTGTGTGTTATGGACAAAACCGTTTACAGCATTTGATAACAGCCATCGTGATGGATTCCCCAGACACTGACGGTCTTCTGAAAGACTACAAGTTTCACCTTCAAGTGATTTTTCTTACTTTCTTCCCTTGCCCCCTCCTCTTCTCGTAGCAGAAAATAACCACAGATGCACTCAGATTCAGCAGGTGAGAAAAGTTTCAGAGGAAGAACAACCCTCTGAACCCTACCTTTCCCCTGCTAAAATTTTTTTTGGTTAAAGTGTTACTCAAGCTGGTGACACAAACTGTTCTCAAACAAATCTGATCCGTGTATTTATGAGCTTGATGCTCACGAATTTCTGCTCTGCATTCACCCTCTTTCATTATTTCCCAGCATTATTGCTTCTATTTTCTGACAAAAGCTAAAAATCCACTTTCCAGTGCTAAGCACCTATGGGCTTTGTGACCATTTTTATTGCGAGGGGCCAATATATTGCACCTGCTTCTCTGTGCCAGAAGAGCAAAGTACACCACTAGGCAATGCAGCTTCTTCTTTCCAGCTTTTGTGGCTCCTGGGATTAGGCAGTCTCAGTTTCCTGTGCTGCCAAGATGTGTCCCAGGTAGATCTTACCTTTTGATCCAGTCTCTGATAATCACCAGACTTGGGCCGTCGAGCAATTTTTGATCTCTTCCCTTCCAGAGCAAAAGCAATGATCTTTGGGGAGAGAGAGAGAGTAGGATAATAAATAACCGAGTAACTTTTTTCTCACTTCAAGCACAGGCAGTTTGTAACGGGCCAAAGAAAAGCTTCACTTACCTCTTTCTAATTACCATATTTCATTTGACAAGACACTTTAAAGACATAAATGCCATCATTCAAGACCAGCTGTGATTGAAAGTAGGCAATAGCGAGCTTTGCCTAACATGCAGAAAACAAAAAGTATTTCTCTCCCCTTCAAAAATAGTACTGCATGAGAAAACAGCAAAAGACAGTTACATCATTCGAGCTGTATTCCTCCATGCTCTACTATTTAAAGACAAGCCTTTCGCAACCTGCTACAGAAAATTCACTGTCAGTGAGAAACATGGGCTCATTTTACAGCTGTTTTCCTGAACTCCTTTCTCAGTTCCGTTTCTCCCACCTGAAAATAACCATTAGAGCTGAGGCCACCTAATTTCCACGGAGATCCGAATGCTTCCCTAGTTACAACACCCTCTCTGGTCATCTCAAAGCCGTTGACACCAAGATTCAAATTAACATTAACCAAAGTCGCGCTGCTCAGCAAGCAAGAGGCATCCATGAGAAACAAAAAACAAAAAAATCAGAGCAGCGACAGGAAGAGGACTTCACGGGCATTTCCCAAGCTGAAGCACTGACAGCAAAAGGAAGCTCCTAAACCACAGAGGGTTCAAAGAGTTTGGGTAAGCAGCAGAGCTCTCTGTGCTGGGTAAGGAGGCGGCAGCAGCTGCTAAGAAGCGCTCTCCCGACCTGTTATTCCCTCCCCAAGGGCAATAGCACTGGAGCAACGTGGCCTCAGCCGCACCCGGGGAAGGCGCAGCCACTCACCTTTCGCTTGTTGTGATACGCAACATATAAGGCAGCAACGATAATAGCTGTGGTCACCAAGTAGGCAAAGAAGTGGCTGCTCTCTGACTTGTTCTTGGGAGGAATGGCAGGAACGCTCTTCTTTCCTGCCTCGTCGCCCTGTTTGACCTCACCCTTGTCATGCTGGGGGTCACCTCCATCCCCTGAAAGGCCTTTGCTCTGCGGCGACCCCTGGTTCCTGCCATTGCCACCCTGGCTACTGGCTTCACTCCTATTGTTGTCATTCTGGCCGCCACCCTGGCTCCCGTTGTCATTGTTCTGGCCATCGTTGTTGTTGCTGTTCTGGCCGCCACCCTGGCTCCCGTTGTCGTCGTTCTGGCCATTGTTTTTGTTCTTCTTTTGGTCCCGTTGTCATTGTTCTGGCCATCGTTGTTGTTGCTGTTCTGGCCGCCACCCTGGCTCCCGTTGTCATTGTTCTGGCCATCGTTGTTGTTGCTGTTCTGGCCGCCACCCTGGCTCCCGTTGTCATTGTTCTGGCCATCGTTGTTGTTGCTGTTCTGGCCGCCACCCTGGCTCCCGTTGTCATTGTTCTGGCCATCGTTGTTGTTGCTGTTCTGGCCGCCACCCTGGCTCCCGTTGCTGTCCTTCTGGCCATTGTCTTTGCTCTTATTGCTGTCATCCTGGCCGTTGCGCTGGCTCCCATTGTTGTCATTCTGGCTGTCCGGGCTCCCGCTGTTGTCATTCCGGACATCATCTTTGTTCTTACTGTTGTCATTCTGGCCACTGGGCTGGTTCTCACTAGGGTTGCTCTGGTCACCACCTTGGTTCTTGTTGTTGCCATTCTGGCCAGTGTCTCCATTCCCATTGTTGTTGCCATTGTTGTTGCCATTGCCACCGTCTGGGGTCCCGCTGCTGCCCTGGCCGCCGCCCGGGCTCTCGCCACTGCTGCCACCCTTGTCACCTGCATTCTCGTTCTTTGACTCCTTGTTCTTTGACTCCTCATCTGGCCTCCCCTGCCCTATTTTAGCAGAAGGGCCCACCTCCAGTTTCAGCTTTGTGCTGCTGGCTGCAGATGGTTGAGGGCTCACTGTCCTGTTTTTATCTTCTTTGGAAGCATCAGAGCTCCCACTTACTTTGCTATCGCCACGTCCACCTGTTGCTGCTCCAGAGTCAGAGGACGGCCCAGTGTTTGCTGAAGCTTTGTTAGAAGACGTTGAAGATGATCCTGGTTGTCCCGGGTTCTGCTCTGAACCTATCAACACACGCACAGAGGTTGCGGTTATTACCGGTGTTTGTGGGCAGCATAAGAAGGACGCGCAGCTGCTCAGAACAGCTTCCCGGCAAAACCGGGCCCGCCTCTGCCAAGATAATAATAAAAAAGCCCCTTTCCTGCAAGGGGAGAGCCAAAGCAGGGGAAAACCAGGCGGCACGGCGCCCTCGGGGAAGCCCCCCCGCGGCCCTCCGCTCAGCCGGGGCAG